CAATGTTCTTATGATGAATGCCACAGTTTGGCTGACACATTTCTACCCAGAATTGTATGCAAAAAAAGGATGTGTATGTGTATCATCTGGCTTTTGTTTTTGGTGATGGTGGTGGTGGTTCAGTACTGGGGATCAGAACCAGGAGCATTCTACTTTAAGCTACATCCCAATGTTTTTTGTTTGGTTTTGAGAGAGGGGCTTCTTACTAAGTTGCTCAAACTGGCCTAAATTTGTGATCCTCCTTCCTTAGCCTCCCAAGTCACTGGGATTATTGGCCTAAAAAACCATACCCAGCTCATCTGGCTCTTTGCTTCATCCAGGAAAACCTTCCCCATAAGCTCCCTAGCAAGTGAACTCTCTTTGTCTTACTGGCCAGAATAATCCACTGGCAAAAAGAATGGAAATTACCACAGTTGGCTTAGACCAGAGCATTCTAGCCCAAGAATCTTTCTCTGATATCTCTTCTGGAAGAAACTTTTCCCTCTTGCCTTTTGTTCTCTTTTGTATTTCAGATAGGTTAGATTTTCTAAATAACTTAGTTTCTTATTGAGTCATTAATATTAGGTACTTCAAATCAGCTAATATTTGCTGAAATCTTATTCTATGTCATTTAACTGTGCTAGATTTTAGGATACAGAAATGAAACTATAAGAAGCATTGTTTGATATGGAAGTAACTTCAACAGAAGAATTATGCCCTAAAGTTCATTTGTATTTTATATCAATATATGTATGTATGTATGTGTGTATGTGTGTGTATGTATGTATGTGTATGTATGTATGTATATGTAGGCATGTTTAATGCCATTATTTTATCTTTGGATTTATGAGAAAAGGCATCTTTAGTTTCAAAATCAAGCTTACTTTCAATTGATAAAAATTAACTTTTGGAACATTTAGAACACAACTTGTTGATGAGTTGATCCTCCGTATCTGTGTTATTTGGGTTCAAATGAATGAATGCCAAAACTAAATTATATTGTTCATTTGAGTTACTTAAAGCAAAAACCATGTTATATTCTCTACAGCATAATGTTTGAGTGTTCTAGTTAACATGCTAAAGATTTTAATAGTACTGTCTTTTGCTTAAGATCCCAACTGAAATGTTTCTAAAATAAAGATGATTTTGTGATTTGGTTCTGATTTTTTTTAAAAAATGGTTATTTGAGTGCAGCTGTAGTGTTAATATAGTAAGCAGTGTTTGTACAGTAGACATACTATTTTTTAGTTGTAGGTGGACACAATACCTTTATTTTATTTTTATGTGGTGCTGAGGATTGAACCCAGTGTCCCATGCATGTAAGGCGAGCACTCTACCTCTGAGCCACAACCCCAACCCAGATGGGGTGCTTTTTATGGGTGTTGAAAGAGAGAAGAAATGAAGTTAGAGATGAGGGAATTGGGAGTGGTAGAAAGGAAAAATGTGCAATCTAATCACTTATTCTGAATGCTAAAAATTCCACTACATTTTGATAACTATTATAAACTCAAAAAGTAATTCTAAGCTTCAGTTTTGATTGATTATATTTATCAAAATCATACTTATGCTGTATTCTTTTGTATTAAGTACATTGTCCTTAATACAGGAATTAATGGTGATATTCTGACACCCCAGAGTTGAAGATAATTATAATTCCCATAATGTGTGTCCTTGATGGGTTCTGGGTTCTGTATGGTGTGGGTATGTGTGGTGTTAGGTATTGAAGCCCAGAGCTTCACACTGAGCAAATGTTCTACCACTGAGCTAGCTGTACCTGCAACCCCTAGTGATCCAAAAGTATCTTGGTGGCTTAAGATTTAAACATTTTAATAATTTTGAAAACCAAGAGGAAAGTCAGGCGTGGTAACACACACCTGTAATTCCCACAGTTTGGGAGGTTGAGGCAAGAGGATCACAACATCAAGGTCAGAGTCAGCAACTTAGTGAGAGCTTTGTTTCAGAATACAAAGGGCTGGGTAGATAGCTCAGTGGTAAAGTGCCTCAATTCAGTCCCCAATACCAAAACAAAACAAAAGATGCATGCAAAAAACAACCAAGAGGAATGTGTACATCTTGATAGCAGGAACATGTATTTTGTAAAGGAGAATGTGGGAATAAAAATAAAATATGGGAATTGTCTGCTTTTTGTGCAAATAATTAACTTGAGTAAATTCTAATGTTAGCTCTTCGTTATAAAACATTAGAGTATACTTAGGTTTGATTTTCATTTATTTCAAGTCACTAAGAAACTGATATTTGTAAAAGAATTACCTTCTCTTTAATGTGCTTTCTACAGTTAACATGTTTGAAAATTTTAAACATAAAATCTTTAACATAAAAACACTTATTATGAGAAAAGGCATCTTTAGTTTTAGCATCTGGGGCTGTGGCTTAGCGGTAGAGAGCTTGTCTAGCATGTGCAAGGCACTGGGTTCAGTCCTCAGCACCACATAAAAATAATTAAATAAATTTCCAACTACAACTAAAAAAATACTTATTTGGTGTTTGGTTTTAACTGGCATACCTGTGATTGTGGGATATAAGTTTACAATGCTCAGACTGCTGTAAGTTGCCTTGTAAGTTAAGTGGTTGAAGTTGTTTGGAACATTTTGCCTATGTAAATCTTGTTCCCTTCTATATGTGTGCATATTTATAGATTTGTGCTTACAGAACTATGGCACTATATTGCAAAGGTCCTAATCTTTACTGTATTCACACAATTTGTAATATGTAAGAAATTATTTGCAGACCTGTACTGTGAAGTATATCTTTCCTCTGACTTGTTTTGGTTAGCTCTGAATAATGAAGTCAAACCTTACTTGATTTTCCTTAGTGAGTCTTAGGGTCAATTTTCTTTCTTTCTTTATTTTTCCTTTTTTATTAAAAATAAACTTTAGATTTAGGTAGTTATGTGTTGTAACTCAAGGAAACAATATTGTAATGATTAGTGTTGTAATAAACAATGATTGGTAAGTGGTTTACATGTTATTTATCATTTGCTCCATTGGAAGTATCTGATAAAATTAGAATCAGGCCGTCTCTGTTGGCTGTCTTTGGTTTTATGCAAATGGATTAATATGAGCTTTGTTTAATGCAGTGATTACTTCCTCTCTCTTTCTGTACACAACCTTAGGGAGGAATGGTGTAGTTGTAGTTGGGAAAAATGGCTTTGGAGGAAAATTTTTATGCTGTTTATAAAGTGGAAACATAATGCCTTTATTTTTTAACTAGTGTGAGGGAAATTCTTAGAGATTATGAATGTCTGAAAAAATAAAACCATGAAGTCTCCAATCCTGCCATCGTGCATTTTTCTTAGTGACAATCTGAGGGTTTTAAAGTCATATAAGTACTCCCCCCAAAAAGTTAGAGACCTGGTTAAGTTGTAGGTAACTAGTAACTAGTACACCAGAAGACTGTTAAAGGCTCCTAAATGCAGACAAAGCATTACTAATTGCTTTCAGGGTCAGGCTGACTTTACTTGGACCATGAAAGATTTAGCATAGTCCTATGGCTGCCTGCTTGCTGAGTAAAGAGTCTTGTCTTTAACAAAGACTGCTATCTGATATGCCAGACCGTTTCATGTTGCCCTCGTTTACATGAATTTAGTCATTATTGCCAAGACTACTAAACCTCAGTGCAACATAAATGATACTTCTAAATGGTCTTGAAGACAAAGGCCTTTAACCTTGCAGTGGGATGTAGGTATTGTTTACATAGCTTTTAAAATATGGAACAGAATACTTTGCTATTTGAAGTTTCAATTAAAAGATACATTCAGGAAAAATATTTTTAAAAAATCTACAAGTAAAATACCACACATCTTTAAGTAAAGTAAAATTTCTAATGTTTTCCATCTTTTAGAATGTTTATTCCTTGGAACGGTAGGATCCTAATGACACTATTAACATGGGTCCAATCCCATCAATGCAACTAATTCTTCACACTCATAAATCCTACTATTCTAGGTAGAAGTTAGAATGAAATTAAAACTGGTTAATGAAACTTGATAAAAAGGGGCAAAGGAAATACTAGCTAGATGGTCAAATATGTTTTTGCCCATGTAAGAATATGAATTTTTTATTGTAATACTTATTGAATTGATATTTATTTTACTGTTTATTTTAATACTATTTAGCTAGCCCTTATTATTATTATTTTTGGTACCAGGGATGGAATCCTGGGGGCACTCAACCACTGTGCCACATCCGCAGCCTTTTTTTGTATTTTATTTAGAGACAGGGTCTCACTGAGTTGCTTAGAACCTTTCTAAGTTGCTGAGGCTGGCTTTGAACTCAAGATCCTCCTATCCCAGCCTCCTGAGTCACTGGGATTACAGGCATGCACCACTGTGCCCGGCTAGCTAGCATTTACATTCAGTAGTCTTCATTGGTAGGTTTGACTGTTAGTGCAACCAAATGTATTTTTTTAAACATTTATGTAGTTTTTAATTGTAGTTGCACACAATACCTTTATTTATATGTGGTGCTGAGGATCGAACCCCGGGTCTTACACATACTAGGCAAGTGCTCTACCACTGAGCCATAACTCCAGCCCCTGTATTTTTTAAAAATTTTTTTCTTTTTAGTTATACATGTCAGTAGAAGGTAGTTTGGAAAATTATACATTCATAAAATATAACTTATTCTATTTAGGATCCTATTCTGTGGTTGTATATGATGCAGAGTTACTCTGGTCGTGTATTCAAACACAAGGCTAGGAAAGTTATTGTGTGTTTTTTTTTAAATGATGAAATTTTTGTTTCTCAAAACTATAACATGGAAATTTTATAGGTGACATCTTTTTTTTCCCACAAAACTAACTTTATATGCTTCATTATTCAGAGGTTGGGAAAATAATAAAAGTGATGGGTTTCTAAACAACTGGAACTTTTCATTGTCTTTACTTTGAAAATGTGTTATTTTACATATGAAATATTTTTAGTATTGCTTTAACATGTGTTAGAAAATTCTGACAAATAAAAGTTCTTTCTATCTTAAGTTTAAGTTCTTTTTTCCCCCCAGATTTATGAAAATATGCATCAGCTTAATACTGTCTTGGAATTCATGAGATGGAAGCATAGGTCAAAGCTATTTGGAGAGAATTGGAAGTACAGTTTTATAGCCACATCTCTAAGGTAAGGAAAAGATTTTAAAGAAAATAATAGAGTAACATGAAAATTTTTCTTTCTTAACAATTGAAAATAGTCCTTCCGTATTACCACTGCAACTTTATTTGAGCTTCTTTATTTTATTGGTAACACCACAACTTTGTGTTAGCTACATTAGTTTCTTAAATCACCTTCTTTATGAGTTCATACGTAATTCTTATGTATTTTTCTTCTCTTGTAAATATCGAACTTTTTCAGGAGTGAAAATATTTCTTAACAATACCACTTTCTTAACTAATTATAGAAAGTAAGTATTATTTCTTCCTTCAGGATTTTATTTCTTCCCATAAAGACTGGAAAGCATAGTTCAGAATGGAAAACTATATTAAAAATGATGTTTACATTATTTTGAAATTTTAACACATTTTACAGTTAAGATTTTAAATATCTTAGAATAATAGATCTTTGGAAGTAAAATTTAGTTTAAAGAAGTAGAAACTGTAGTAATGCCAGAAATAGGAAAGAAATCATTCTAAGACAATATTTGGAGGAATTAGCTCATTGCTTTGAGATTCTTTTAGAGCTGGATGTGATGGAGCATACTTGTAATTCCAGCTACTTTAAAGGCTGAGGCAGGAGGATCTCAGTTTCAAGGCCAGCCTGGCCTCAAATGTTTCCCCTTCTGTTAATGATCTCTTTATCACCCAAGAAAAGTTTTAGTGTTATATCTGATTCCTCATGTTTTGCATCTTATACCTTGTCAGAGATCAACTCCTGTTAGTTTATTCTATAGCATATCATGAATATTTTTATCACCTATTTTCAGATTCCTAATCACCATCCAGGTTTAGGGCCTTACATGACATTATACTGGAAATATTGCAGGGCTTTCCTATTTGTACTAACCTATTAATCAATCCACTCTAGCATTCTTATCTTAGTAGTCACAATACTGTTTCCCAAAGCATGCTGAATGTACTGTACTGTTGATAGCATTCAAAACGATTTTTTTTTTTTTTTTGGGGGTGTGTGTGTGTATACCGGGGATTGAAGTCAGGGGCACTTAACCATCAAGCCACATCCCCAGGCTCCTCCCCTCCCCCCTTGTATTTTATTTAGAGATGGGGTCTCACTGAGTTGCTTAGGAACTTGCTAAGTTGCTGAGGCTGGCTTTGAACTCATGATTCTCCTGACTTAGTCTCCTGAGCCGCTGGAATTATAAGCGTGTGCCACTGTGCCTGGCCAGGTTTTAGTTTTATACAGGTGAATTTTTAAAGATTTTGTGTTGGGTGTGGTGGTACATGCCTATAATCCCAGCAATTTGAGAGACTGAAGCAGGAGGATTGCAAGTTTAAAACCAGCCTTAGCAACTTAGTGAGACCCTAAGCAACTTGGTGAGACTCTCAGAATAAAAAAAGGATGAGGATGTTGCTCACTGGTTAAGTGCCCATGGGTTCAATCCCTAGTACTAGAGGAAGAAAAAAGTACTAGCGGAAGAAAAAGATTTTAATAGGCACATGTCTGTTTTGATAACCACCTACTCACTACTCACTTACAAACAGTAAAAGTAACAGTACTTTGCCCTTTCTCTGTTTTGAGCTATGGTTCAGAAACTTGAGTTAATCTTACCTGTAGTTCATGTATGTAACTAACTTAATTTGTTCTCCATAAAGCCCCTCAGATGATTCATTTTAATCTCCCTTTTTTTTTTTTGGTTACAAAGATTGAACCCAGGGGTGCTCAACCACTGAGCCACTTCCCCAACCCTTTTTTCTTTTTCTTTTGAGACAGGGCCTTGCTAAATTGCTAAAGCCAGCTTTGAACTTGTGAGCCTTCTACCTCAGCCTCCCAAGCCAATGGGATTATAAACATGTGCCATCAGGCTGGGCTTCTCCTTTGTTTCTGTTTTATTTATTTATTTATTTATTTATATTTTTAGTTGTAGATGGACACTATATCTTTAATTTTTATGTAGTGCTGAGGATCGAACCCAGTGCCTCGTATATGTGAGGCAAGCACTCGACCACTGAGCTTCAGCCCAGCCTTTCCTTTGTTTTTGACCCTTACTTCTGTTTTCCTCTCTTTATGCTGTTGGACAGCACTTTAATTTGTGTCTCACATATGTCAGGTAAGCGCTCTACAACCGAGCCAAAACCCCCCCCAAACCCTTAAGAAGTTTTAATACTAAAAAAACTCTGTATATTACTGTATATACATTTTTCATTGCTTCTGACATTAGTGTCCCATAACGTACAGAACCACGTTTTTACCATTTTAGAGTCACTCTACTCTGTTCAAAAGCAAGGCAATAGAGCCAGCTTGCTTCAGTTTGAATCCTGACTTTACTACTACTTCTTAGCTAGAGAAAAGGACTTATAAATGGGTAGTTTATTTGAGAAATGAAACAAAAAGAGGAAATGGGAGAAAAGGAAAAATGGACAGAGAAGATGGTAAATGTATATATTGTGTGTTATGAGTTAGTTACCACTATGGGAAACTGGATCTCAGTCCTCTGAGAACCCTCTGAATGTACCTTATAGTCTTGCCCTACCAAAAGACTGTGTTATACCTCGAATGTTACGTGTTGTTCATTAAGGGTTCTTTTTGAGCTCTAGCACTGGCATTTCTGTCGCTGTACCTCTAGACTGCACAGTACTCTTTAGGTTTGGAGAAGTCTGAGGAGTAAAGTGAGCCATGCTTTATAATCTGGATGGTGTCTCTTGTTGGACAGTGTAGAACTGCCCACCAGAGCGGCAGTGACAAAATGGAGGTGGAGAGGATGTGACACTGGATGGTGTCTCTTGTTGGACAGTGTAAAATTGCCCACCAGAGCTGCAGTGACAAAATGGAGGTGGAGAGGATGTGTTAAAGAATACCAACAAGTATCTGCTAGAATCTCCACTGTTTATCCCTCAGACTACCTTTGCCACATTAAATCTACCTTATCATCTACCTTCGAAGTGGTGGTTTGTTATAATCACTTAAGAAATATCCAAAACAAGAAGGTTACTGGAATAAACTATAATTTCCACTACTGCAGCTGATCCAGAGGCTTATAATTGATACTCAAACCATGAGATACTCCGTAAGCCTTCACTTCAGATGGAGGTGCTGGCAATAGGATGTACTCTGGGCAGGGAAGGCAAATACACATCTGGATTAAGAGTTTTTTCTGCACTGAGAATACGTTAGTTAACACTCAACAGCAGCAGTAATTATGTCAGCCTTCATAAAAAGGAGCCTGTGATGTTGAGTCTAGGTAAAACCTTCCTCCCTTTGTTAGTATGACTGCTGCATTCATGGACCCATGCTCTAGTATTGAGGTGACCAAGACAGAAACTGACTGGCTGATAGCATTGATGATGAATCATCTATCTGTGGTTGCCTATAGTTAAATGCCTCTACTGTGACTGGTGCTTTGTGGTGGTGGCATCTTGGGCTGACTCCTACAGGGCCATTCAACATGGATTTTCTCTACGATCTTGTTTCTTATTTTCGTATTCTCCCAATCAGCCAGACCATTCTCTACTGCCCAGGAACCTATGGATTTTTTTCTTTGGTTTCTTCTCCCTTTACAGTACTCACTCTCTCCGTAATGTCTTTCAGAGCCTTGTGAGTAGACTGTTGAACAGTAGCAGTCTTCTTTTTGGCTTGTATCTGTTAACTAGGTCCCAGACTTTTTTCCCCATTATTGCTTACTGGAAACTTACTATAAAGTTATTGGTATGAGCATAAATTAGAGACATCAGTGTGGTAGAAATAGGTAATATGAAGTTCTGAGCCATCTCTTGGAGTTTATTAGTGTCCTGTGGACCTGCCTAGGCCTTATTCCAAGTACTGTGTCCACTATACAGTGATTGCTGCTAAACCTGGCCTTTTAACTTGGTGGCTCATGATGGTAGCTCCAGTCACAAAATCTTTTTTTTTTAATATTTATTTTTTAGTTGTAGTTGGACACAGTACCTCTGTTTCACTTACTTATTTTTTCTGTGGTGCTGAGGATCGAACCCAGGGTCTCGCATTTGTGAGGTGAGCTTTCTACTGCAAGCCACAACCCCTGCCCTCCAGTCACAAAATCTTTGTAATGTTTTTTTTTTTTTTATTTTTTTTTTTTTATTTGGGTTCTTTATGAGGCCCATCATCATGTCAAGAGCTGCTTTTCCAACAGTGTTATAAAAGGGCTATCTTTGCTTCAGAAAATCTAGAGGTTGTTCTACAACTCTCCCATAGGAACTGGCCAGAAAACCCACATAACAACCCATATTGTACTTCTAGTGCCTTTGAATCTGTTTGGCCTGAACATTGGGGTAGTTTGCTCAGTTTAATTTGCTGAGAGCCTTTTCTCCTCTTGGTCCTAGTCAAAACAAGCAGCTTCTGAGTCACCTAATGTCTTGTGTTAGTTCTGCCTAGGTAGTTCTAGTCTTAAGCTTACACTTCCTGCTGGTTATTGAGTTCCCTTTAAAGGAGTTCTGTGAGTTTTATGCCCATTCCTAGGATTTTTGGGCTACCTTTGCACTTACTTAGTTCTGACTACAGATACCTCTTTTCTAGTAGATATTGGAAGGAAGGGTTCTTTCTCCTGTGTACTGACAACAAAGGAGCCAACAAACATCCATTTCTTGAGGCTCTAGGACAGGTTCTGAGTGTTTCCAGGCACTCCTACATGCAAGATTCTTCAGCAGTGTAGTCTGTGAGGGTTGCCTTTAGGTCTGCTGAGATGAGCCTTTTGAGGGCCTTGAATGCAGCTAAGCAGTGTATCCCTGGTCTTATAGAAAGATGAGTATGTCTTTACTATATTGGTTTCTCCTTGATTTACCTGCACACTCACTCCTGTGGAGAAACATGGAACTCACAGTTTCAGAAACATCATCTCACCTCTTTAATTATTGTGCTTTTCCAGAAAGGGAGATAGAGAGAAGTTTTTTCCTACTCTCTTCCATTCAGATTGCATCCTTATAACTTTAAAGTTTTAAAGATACCATTATAGTTTTTCTTTAAGTTTGGTGAATATGCTTCTGATATACTTA